ACCCGGGATCGAACCAGGGACCTTTAGATCTTCAGTCTAACGCTCTCCCAACTGAGCTATTTCGGCTATGTCTAACATTGGATATACCAATATCGACTTAAAATGTAGATCAGCCGTCCAAGCCTCTCCATCTCTAGCTGAGATATTTCGGAGGTGTAAATAACATTTAAGGTACAAAAACCGAGTTAAGAGAAGAAAAAGGTCAACCGGGAATGACGCAATATCTGAGTTAGGTTGTTTAACCCCACGTTGATATACATGGATACATATTAAGTGTACACAAACTAAGAATTACTTCCCCTTTTACGGAATTCATTTTAGGATTTTACATTTCAAATATTTGGATTGAAATTTCGGTCAAATTCAGTGCCAGTATTGTTTTGGTCCTAGTCCTGTTTTACCCTTTTTTAGTTAGTATTTTTGTATAAAAAATAACAAATTTTGAATTGCTGTATCTTCTGCTGTAATATGTACGAAATCCAGGTTTCGGAATCCATTAACAAAATACTGATGCCGAAACCCGGGATCGAACCAGGGACCTTTAGATCTTCAGTCTAACGCTCCTTTTTTTCTTCTTTTAAAAATGAACTTTTATTAGTCCCAGCAAATAGGACCTCCGGGGTTGGGGCCCCGTCGGCTCCTCACAGTTCACATAAAACACATATTTAAATACTCAAAAATCACAGAAGTACATTTCAACATGAAATAAGCATGGTAATAAAAGGTATGTCAACGCTCATTTACAAATGAGTTGAAAAAAGACAACTTCATCATAATGATAATGCATAAGATAGGTTATTTTCAGTGCCTGATGATAAATCTACAGCCTTCAATACGTCTAACGCTCTTCCAACTGAGCTATTTCCGCTGCATATTTATATAAGAGATAAATATAACGAGTTCAGATATGAAATAGGCCATCTGAGCCTCAGGTGACAGACTGGATCAGATAGTAAACAAGCCGAAGAACCTTTACACATTGACTTGTACAGGTATAGTACATTGACGACATAATCAGTGTACACTGACTATTGTGCCGGAGGCAAAACAATGTATGCACGTCCTTGTTTAAGTATATTCAAACTTATTTATTTCATAATTATAGCAGTTGGTATTAAATATCGAATAGTTGACACAAAGTTTCTTTATCCAATAAAGATCATAAAGTATTGTTACAGTTGTGGTACCGCACAACGCACCAAAAATAGCATGCGCACACCGTGCATACATCGTTCACACCCCGTCCGCACACCGTCCACACATGGTGCGCACAACTGTGCGATTTAGCAATCGTTCGCCCCGTTGTGCGCTTCTCTCCGCACAACTGTGCGATTTGGTCTAATTTGTAGATCAAAATTACGGAATGACAAAAATACGGAAGGCTTGTGTGCGATATTGCACACTGTGTATATATCTGTAATTTCTCATCACAATAATCAAGATTATACAATTTCACCAGAGGTATAATACATTATTATACGTCTCTGTACAGCGACCGTTAGGCTGTCAAGAATGGGTTTGGCTCCAAGGTAACAGAACAGGTAAATAACAATTTGATGAGTGTCCGGAGTTTTACCTGACCAGTGCCTGACACACAGAGTTGATAAGTTTGACCGTAATGAATAGTATTTGTTATTTGCATTCGTTTGCCTATAGCTCCCATTCACCTGGATTTTCACACCCCGGCCTTACCCGACGAGTTACGTAAGTGCCCCAGGCGGGGGAAAATTACGGTCCAGGTACATGTACAAAGTGGTTATGTTTACCTGTATACGGGATTGTGTTGTAATTTTACATGTGTCGATTAAGTGTGTTTAAAAACACAGAAAATACATTTTGTAAATATAAGAATGTATAGACAGAAAGATAAGTTTATAGATATTGCTAGAATATAGAAACAGACGGAAACATCAAGGTTATATGTTTAAACATGAAACCGTATATATTGGTGAGGCATTCCTCAATTTACACCAACCACGATTGTTATCGCACAACGTCCGTCCATGGTGCGCACATATGTGCGCAAGCAATGATCGTCCAGCTTTTTATCGTTCGCCCATCGTGCACACACCGTTCACACACCGTGCACACATCGTGCGCACACCGCACATCGTGTAACGTTGTGCGATCCCACAACTGTAACTTAAGTCTGTAAATTCATGTAAGGGGTTGTAAATTAAAGAAAATCTGACACTCGCTGATATATAATAGATTGATTTTGGTAAACACATCCTGCTGTCAAGGGCAAAATTCACATTTTTTTTGTCTAAATAATCACTTTTAGAAGGCAAGATATTAGCTGAGTTTGTTGTATGAACGGTTATTACGACAGAATTATGTCCAGTTTCTATTTTTGAAACTTTATGAAGCTGAATACATACATGGCCTTTCACGCAAACCATATGCATACTCCTATGCGGATGTGTTGATGTTTCGTCAATTTATAATAAAATCATTAAGATTTATTCTCAGATATCCTTTATTAAAAGGAGCTCTATACAACTTCCCTTCCTTAAGTAAGACTTATACGGTTCATCGTGAATAATGTAGGTAATATTAGACTTGAAACATATCTGTGTATCCGAACTGCCTGATGATCAACGCAAAAAGATATTACGGCGGCAGGCGTTCTGAAGTAAGCGCTATATATATCTGTGAATTGTTGTTTTACAAAACCTGTCATGATTTAAAATGACGAAGATGAACCTAGGAGTACAAGAGCTGTTGACCTGTATTAGTATTGTATTTTTTGTTACCTCTGTATACAAAAGTTGTCAACTTCTATGAATTGTTATATTTGCCTATAACGTATATATATCGCGCCATGATCGCATCATAAAACCAAACCTCGGATTTGTTTTAGCAGTCATTGCGAGCTTATACCTTCCTGTGATCAATAAGTGTACATGCTTTTAAAGCTAATTGGCCAAGAGAGATAGGAGTATGTAAAGTGGAGTTTCGTTTATACAGACGCATATATTTTCAGAAAAAGTTACCGGATTCTGAAACGACTTGATTATTGGAACCATTTTGAATAGAAAATGCGATTTTCTCTCTTTTTCGCGAGGAACACTGATTGGAGGTTATGGGGAAAAACTCGACATTGACATTATGAATAAGGTACAATTGTAACAAAACGATATTTTAAATTAGTTTAATAATTATAGTATACCAAATGTATACATAAACTCATTATTGAAATCTGCAAATCTTTACGGTAAACTTGTTTGATCCCCCCACCCAAGCAGTGTCAGTTGTATTCTGCTAATCAAAGCGACTATATAGTGACACCAACTGTAACTTTTTATTATGTCAGCCGTCGAAACACTAAACATTTTTAACTCAATAGGTTTATTTTAATCACTGATTAACGAGTATTTAGACAAATATAGACGAAACCGACTGTCGATGAGTGTAGTTACCCTACATCGGTGTTCCGTGTGGGATACATATAAGGAGGTATAGGAGAAACTAATGTTAACCTCACGACCAAACTCTGTCACATGTGTGACGACCTTAATTCACACATTTACTTTTCTTCCGCCAGGACAAATGTCGACGTCTGACAGACAAAGTTACAACACAATGTTTTCGAGATGCACCTGTTGATCGAAACTATGGGAAAGTTTTTCGGTGGCCACTGTGATCTAATTGAGTACTATGCTATTTTCATGTATGATATGGTCAATGTTTTCGATTATGCTATTTAATGTGCCTCGGTGTAACTACCAGGAGTATAACTTGGAGTTGATCTAGAATTACAGGACAGTGTGGCTCATAAAGTAAAGTCGTTTAAACCTGCGTAAAGATTCTCTTTGTACTTTTTAATGATCTCAATGCATTTTTGCTATCCTGGTTCATCGATTTTCAGCTTGAATGTAGCGTTGTTCTTAATTCGGTATTAACTGAATTGAATCTTCAACGGCTTACGTCTATTCCAGATGCAGTAAAACATTCAACAATTAAGTAAAAAGGTACATATTTATAACACATCCTATGACAGAGGTTACGTTAAGAAAATATTTCTTTTTAAATTTTACCTTTTTTAAATTCATTATTCCGTTTTAAAGGAAGCTATATGTTTGTAAAAAAAATACTGTAGTACAAAATATTAATACAAATAATGAAGCATGTATTGTAATGTATGGATTGTAGTAATATCCTGTACCTATAAGTTGTAAACTTTTGGAAAATAAACTCTAACGACTTTTTGTTTCAGTTATGCTCTGCATGTAAAACAAATACTTTGTTCTTTCAGTTTTACCAAATAAAATTTTGTTTTTTAATTTGGTGATATTTGGAGTGTTCAAGGCTTAAGCATTGTTATATACTTTTGCTGGTTATTATCTTTACTTCGCCTATATACGGATTAACCTTTCTTTCTATTACCATTATCAATCAACGGTATTTCGTTATACAAATCTTTGACTAAGTGCTACAGTGAAACCAGGTAAATATGGGCAATTTCATTTCAGTTAAACGGAAAAATGTAATAACATCATTATTTAAGATAATTGCAGTTTTCTTTCTTAATTGCGACCGTTTAAAAAAGTGTCCAAATACGGGTTTGAACGTAACCTTAGCAAGCGTCGAAACAATGGGTCCATTAACTAGGGTCATGTTTACGTTAGTCTAACCAGTAAGCGACCAAAAACTGACCCGTTCACGCAAATCTAATCAATGAGTTCGTTAACTCGCGTCTAAATAAAGAGTCTGTTTTCGAATTTTTAGAATGATATAGTAGGATGATATTGTTGACAAGAATCTACCGTTTTTTTAGTTTGAAATATAGTTGAAGTGAAGATATAATGATTGTCCAAGCAGTAATCATAAGTGAATGTAATAATTTAAATAACCTGAGAAAGAAATGAATCTACTAGTAGTGGATTTGCACAGTGTTGAAGTCAAAAAAATAAAATAATTCAATTGAATCATGCTTAGAGATGAATATAATAAATAACATTACATGTGTTCGAAATAAATATAACAATTCAATTTACCTGAGTGAGATATCCCATTACGGAGGTGACGTAAGCACTAAGGTATTATATCCGAGTCGGTCCAGGCTCCTATTCCACTGAACTGCGATATGTGACGGATCGCGGCAGCACCGAGCCTTTAGATACTGGAGCCAGCGCTGCTGTCATCAGCACTTCATGCCATTTCAACTGTGATAATGCGTTTTGCGAAATTGATTCGTAATGTGGAATATAACTTAATAACTAATCAATGCTATTTCAGATACAATGATTTTGTGATTATATAGTTAAAGTCTAACAACATAGCGTGGCTGTTCTCCATTTACCCAGGTAGAGCCACTTTGACATGTTATTGTATAAGCTGCTGTTGTACCACCCGCTGCTGAGCTGCACTAGAATCCAGGACTCGGTATAACGCATGATAAGCTTTATATCACATGGGAGCAAATACGTTTGTAGCTAATTTAATAACTCTAGCTATCCGCTACTTCGGCAATTAATATTCCAAATCACCAGCAAGCCGCGCCGAACTCAGAACGCAAAGACACCAGTCGTTAGAATAAAAATATATATGTGATATAGAATTTCGAAAGTAACATTTTCAAACAATGAAATGAGTTAATGTGAAGCTATCGAGGAAACCAGAACAGTCTGGCTCTGCCAGCTCTTGTTTAAAATAGTGATAGCTTTGCGAAATTTATAATGAAATTTTAATGTTTGCTTTTTTGAGGCAACATTATGAGGTTTATGAAAAAAAACAGTGATTACATTAAAGTACATAGAACCCTTTTGATCGTTTTCGATTTTTTCTTTTTTTTCTTTATTTTAATGTCACCGATAGGAAACGTAAACATGCCGTAGTCAGCCTTTGATTTCAAGATTGGCGATAAAGATATTGTATAGCTAGGCCTAGATACACTGATCAAAGACGGCAACTTAATAGCAAAGTATCATCTGAAATATTGTTTATACAAGTTTAGTTAGATATGAAGCCTTCCATTATTTAATTAATTCATTTTTAGTTCTGGTATTGGCGTATTAAAAAAGCTTTTATAAATATTATTCAGAGGTCTTCCTTTTGCAGATGAATTCAGCTTCTTTGTACAAACCATTCTTTCCTATATTGTAAGATGATAAATACCACCATATTCCTAAAAAAGCCATAATCTGTATAATCCCCCCTTAATATCCGCCAACTTATTTTCCATATTTTGTAAGGTAATTTTTTACTTTAAGCAAAACTTTATTATTTCATTTTCAGTAAAAAGTTAATAGATGCCCGTTCTAAACACTGTAAAATCTATTACAGATTGTTCAAAAAATATATCGACTTCCTGTATATCATGCAGGAGATCTAGGAAATTCTATCTATACCACGATAAGCTATATATACACGTATCGAATACTGAAAATTGTGTTTCAATATTAAAACAAAAATAATATTTCTGAATTATTTTCAAACCCGAGAAGAAACACCATCTACATAATGGTCTACAATCTTGTTTTGATGAATTAATCAATTTTCAATTAAAATTCCTATAGGACTGAAACATCTTACCGAGGTTCAGAAAGCATACATGCACAGCGATGAAACAAGGAAATCAGTAAAACCTTCAATCTTTAGGGAGTCAGAAGTTATGGCCCAGACAATGACTGCAATATGACCTTGACCTTTTGTGTACAAACCCAGCGGTACAGGACTCACAGCCTTTCCACCCTAAATATATCCCTTAATTTCCATTGAGACTTTTTCAGGGAATCTGACACTATGTTCAGACGATGAATTTTAACTTTTACTTTCATGTGACATTGACCTGGCATACGGACCAGGCCAGAAGTCAGAAGATATCTTTCAGACAATGAACTCGACCTCTATACTCATTTTGACATTGACCTTGGACGTGCGAACCCAATAGTGATGCATGATCCCCTCCCCTCCCTAACACACACACACATTTGTTCGAGGAGCATGACAAAATAACACATTGACAGTCACTAAAATTTTATTTCACTTTTCGTTTAAAGACAATGAATGTCCTGTCGTATATTTGTGACAAAATTGTAAACTTTAAACTGACTTCATCAGTATTACAACTTTGACCATATATACAGGTACTTACAAATATATAATGAAGGGGTTGATTAGATTTATTAACAGTTGATTTTCAACTCTTCAATGTTGATATAATGTACTTGATTAATTTGTTCATCATCTTGTTAATCCTACCTAAAGGAATTATCAACTAATTAAATGCAAGTCAACTATAACTAATGCTTTTGCAGAAAGTTCATAATTCCTTGCAATCTATTATGGTGTAATATTAATGTAAATACGGATCATTCATTTATCATCCATGCATGATATACTACACAGTGCACCGGCTTATGACTCGATAGAAACGCACGCTACCGGATCCAGCCTGTCGACAATGACATAATGAGTGATGATGTCCCATTTCCTGTATATCTAAATATTCAGATCCCAAATCATAACAAACGAGATAAAAAAAAAAAAAGCTGGATTAAACTGAGCAAGTCTGACATCACGCTTTGCGATTCTGGCCAATTGGTTTTCATTCAGTAATGATTCAGAAAATAAGCTCCTTGTATAGCACCAGATACGTGTATAGCCACCACTCATCTGGATAGCCTTTACGTCAATCAGTGTTCCTCGCGAAAAAGAGAGAAAATTTGCATTTTCTGTTCAAAATGGTTCCAGTCATCAAGTCGTTTCAGTATCCGGCTTCTTTTTCTGGACATAAATGCGTCTGCATTAACTTTACATACTCCTATCTCTCTTGGTCATTAAGCTTTAAAAACTATATTACTAAGAGCCTGCTTCAATGTTAATGTTTTGACCACAGGAAGGTATAAGCTCGCAATGACTGCTAAAACAAATCCGGGGTTTGGTTTTCAGATGCGATCATGGCGCGATATATATACGTTATAGGCAAATATAACAATTCATAGAAGTTGACGACAACTATTGTATACAGAGGTAATGAATAATACAATGTAAGTACAGGTCAACAGCTCTTGGTCTCTTAGGTTCATCTTCGTCATTTTAAATTAAGATGGTTTTGTAAAACAACACCTCACAGATATATGTAGCGCTTACTTCAGAACGCCTGCCGTCGTAATATCTCTATGCGTTGATCATCAGGCAGATCGGATACGTATATATGTTTCAAGTCAATAGACCGTTTTCAGTGTTAATAATTTCCATCCTTATAAACAACTTTTAGAATATATATATATATATATATATATATATATATATCAGTGTTATTTGGGTATTTGATATATCGCAATAATATTACTAACATTATCATACTAAATTATATCGATAAAGGACATAATGTTGTCACTCAAAATCATTCTACAAGCAGGAAAATGTCGATGTCGAATTCATCAGTACATACAAAGTTAAATTTCACAGATTAGGAAAGTTGAAACACGTGTACATTATTTTGATTCCCTATTGATTGGTTTGTGACTACAAATTTGTTCCCACAGACAGACATTGCCCTCGGGCTGACTACACCGTCTGATGACGTCAGCAGCTCTCTGACGTGGGCCCCTTCCTCCGACATTTGTACCACGTTGTTAGACTCCCGCCCACACACGTACACATTGCCTTCGCCGTCGACGTCTACTCCAAACGCTTCCTTCAGGACACCAACTGTCGCCATGTCTGTACGAGTGCCGTCTGAAAGTCTGAATACCGCTACTCTGCCACTCGTGGATGTGGGCTGGCTGCCATACAAGTGTCGAGTTCTTGGATCGGACACAAGATGGTAGCATTGAGAAGAGCAAGTTTGTATATGTTGCGTATTTCCATTCTGTTGGACATTGTACAAGTCCCCCTTAGAACTCACAGTGAACCCGTCACCTGTAGTAGTGATACCCCAGGGAGTGATATTCTGTGAGAGTTTTATTTCTGACATAAGACTTAATTTTGAGGACTCGACTTTGATGACGTATATGACAGACGCATCATAGTTAGCGACCGCTACGGTGTTATCATCCAAAAGACACATGTCGTGCGGTTTTCCTGAAACCTTCATCACATCTTCACATTTCCCTGAAACTGTAAACAATTTGATCTTTTTGTTGTTATAGTCTCCTACAACAATATGATCATCCGGTAAGTAAACGACACCAGGTGCATGACAATTTAAGACATCTGATGGACACTTGATGCAGAACTTGCTCACCTCGGTTACGCCACATTTCGACAATGGAGACTTAGGACCAGAAAGACTATTTAAATTCTTCTCTATTTTGATTTTGCCCATAGACAATGGAATGTCCTTATCTAACGTTAGGAGATTCGGGTCGACGCTGTGTTTGATTCTGACTGTGGTGAACTTCTTCCTCATTTCTGTGATAAGGTCCTCGTAAGACTTTACCTCCGCCTGACCTCTCTGAAACAACAAGATCGTGTCCACGGTGTCATTTTTCTGAATCGCCGTTCCAGAGGATTCTATTGTGTTTTGAATCGAAAACATCAGTCGTTCACATTTCTGCATAGACATCTCCAGATTATCTTTTTCCTCTTTGTACGTTGCTATCAGCTCATCTGTGCTATTTTTCTGCATGGCGTCAAGACGTGTGTCGATTCTTTGACGTAGATCTGCTAAACTTTTCAATCCGGTGTCTTGGTCTTCTAAAAGTGTCTGAAGTTGCTCACCAAACTCTTTGATCAATAACTCAATGGCTTCTGTTGTTTTCTTCAGTGATGTCTTCAAGTCATCCAGTCGTGATTCCTTCTTCAGTTTATCACAATATTCCTGTGTCGTTGTCACTACTTCACATCGTCTGTGGTCTATCGTGATACATCTACTACAGCCAAGTATCTGGTGATCTTCACAATAGTAATCCATCTTCTCTGTATGTTTCTCACATCTGACCTGTTTTGTTACTTGTCGTTGTACCATACCACCTTTCCCAGTTACATCTACTGTTTCACATCCTTCATGAATCAAATCGTGATATTCAAGTTTACAGGTGTCACAGAACAGGACATTACATGTTTTACACCAGATTGTTGCAGGTGTCTTCGTGTTTCCTTTTTTTTCACAAGGCTTACAGAACGTCAGCTCACGTGCTGTGACGTCCTTTACTTGGTCTTTAACCAACTTATTTGTTGGAAACTGTTGAGCCCATTTATCTTTGTTCTCAGCCGCATTGACCGGATGGGTCATCTTCCTACAAACTGGACATGGAAAGGCAGTCGCCGACGCCATATTTCCCGACAGGTCCTTGGTGATGAAGGTGGACAGACATTCCTGGCAGAAGGAATGGAGACAAGGGAGCGACTTGGGTTGGTGTAGCTGTTCCAGACAGATTGGGCAATCCAACAAGTAGGAATCAAACTCAGGTCTGGAGGTGTCAGAAACTTCATGAGAAGATCCTCCTTCAGCCATCACGTTTGAAGGGTTATGGTGTCTGTGAATGTAGAACAAAATGGAAAAATGTATGTAACAGGGGAATCATTTTTATGTTAATATATGACTTGACATTGATTTTAAAATTATGAAAGGTCTTGTTGTGAGGAACCTTATGGGGTTGTGTGATAGTATTCATTCACTTCATTTCAGTGACATAGATCTGTTTTCCTACTTCTCTGTGCACACCCGAAAGGTATGCAGGGTAAGGTAAAACTATATTCTTATATATTCTAGATGCATGTTTCATATTGGTAATGAAATTCAATATCAAATGTATATTGATTTGTAGATTCGATAGTATCGATAAGTATATTGTGAAAATATTGTGAAAATATGAAGTTCATTATATCCAATACAAAAGATATAATACGATGTGTCTATCAGTATCAGATATCTCATGTTCTATTAAGCGTGGTATCGTATATGTAAGGTTTATGTACCTTGATGTAAATAGACTATAATGAGATGTCTGAGTAAATGTGTAATTTGGACTTACATGTTTCTTTTTTAAACACAAACATGTGTAAGAATAAGACTCAAGAATAAACCCGACAATTTCTGTGTATTTTTATCACACATCAATGATAACACTGTAACATTAATATCTGATCTGTTTGTGACAGACTCACATAAGTGTTTCTTTTGTACGAATACAGACTGATCCCACTCGAAATATAGTGTAACCATGGCAATAAAATGTATCTATGCTGGAAAACATCTTACCAATTACGAAAGTAAACAGATTTATTAGTATCGAGTATGTTTTATGCACGTGAGTGCACATGGGTATAACTGTATGGTACTTATTATAATATACTTGTATACACGTAGATATTGACATTGTGTGAGATTTGTGATACACGTTTGTACATGTAGATATTGACATTGTGTGAGATTTGTAATACACGTGTGTACACGTAGATATTAGATTATATTACACGTAGATAATTATATCGAGTGGGATTTTTAACACACTGTTTTACGTGTATTAGTATCGGCTAAGATTTGTAATACACGTGTGCACATGTCAGTATTTGTTTCCAGTTAGATTTAAACTACACGTTATACGTGAAAATCAAGCAAGATTTGTAATGCAGCTGTGTATACCTTGATTTTAGAATCGGTTAAAATGAAGCATTGAAATTATAAAAAAAACACCTGAGAAATTCCGAGTAATTTCAAATAAATAATCAAGTTAGTGTTTATTATGAACCGTGCCACTATTCAACAGAGAAAACTGTGGCCGTCATGGTCACGTCAACCCTCGGGGACTGAGACATCCGTTTGTTTTATCTTTTAGGATGAGGTAAGCCTCACACAAGTTTAAAACTATAAAAATTCAGTTATAGATAAAGTGTGCCAAACAGAACTACACTGCACGATACAGCTGTTTCGTGTTTCTTAGTCCCATCGGTGATGCTGAGGTCAAAAATATGAAAATCCGAATGTTTTAAACTACTGTTGTAACAGAAAGGGGTGCTTAAATAGATACATCAACTAATGGGTGATAATCTAGGAGTCAGGGAAGGTTGAATTGATTAGACCTACTTTCGATTACCGTACAATTATAAATAAACACCATCAAAGGATTTAACCGAAACCATATACCTTAGTGGTGGATCAGGAGAGGTTTCGAGACAAATATTTTCCTAGTCTGCCTTCTCCCTCCAAATAGTTATTTTCTCAATTCTATATTAATTTTACGACTAAACTCACACTACTTTTCATAAATTTGAAAATCTTCACCAGTTTTGTTTCTGAATCCACCACTGCCACTGTTATTGCAAGAAGTAATATGGCATACTCAGCGAATAATATCTAATATCCAGCGACAGGAAATCAACGTAAAACCAATGGGGTCAGAATATAGCGCATATGTTCGCTGTGGACGTGTACAGACCATATGATGACTGTAGGTACTATACTCGACCACATTGATAGAGCTTCGATCTCCTGTAGCCCAACCTAATCTAACACGACATTCATCATGAATACAACCGACAATGATATCTGTATAACTAAGCTTTGTGTATGTAGCATAACCAAAAGCTATGTAAATAGCCACCAGTAGGCCAAAATTGGCACACATCCTTAACTTATACGTGGTGACATTGAATCTAATAAATGGCAAGCTGCTAATTATATAGATAGATATATTCATATCTAGATCTAATTATAACGTCACAATCTTTCATTTGCCAGCTCGGGCTAGGGATTTGACGTCGGCGTTTCGTGTTAACACCATGTAGTTTCGATTTCTATATACGTAACAGGTGCAACTATTTATCTAACAACTGCTCATTTTCCGTATCTTTTATGCAAACTTTACACAAGGAAATACGAGTAAATTTCAATAGATATGTTGTCCTCCAATTACTCTGGATTCTAACTTAACAAGATACTAACCGTGTAGGCCATATAAAGCCGACAATGATGTGTATTCAGCCAAATGTCGTAGGGAGTAATTAACAGCGACGTGTACAGTCTTGTGATCGTTATATCACACTGAATATAAAACCGATACGACGGGACACAAACTTCCGGATATAGAGTCATTTCTTTTTCGGAGAAAATATGTTAAGTTAAACCAGTATATATACAAATATAAAGAATAATTAATTTCATTCTGAAATAATGCATATATTATTTTGAATTAAATAAATCATTCACTGATGACATCTCACGTATTACTTCGTTTGGTTTGCATGGGATCACATAGATATATATGTTTTTCTAAACAAAGACAATATACTTTTACATAAGATCATTAGTTGAGCATATTAATTTAACGAATGAGCAATGAAGATTTTGTCGGAGAAGAAATTGTGAGATTTTCCGGATACTTTAACGTCACTTTCAGATACATGTATATTGAATATGTTTCGACCTCTACTAACGAGAATTCTGGTAACTACTGACATCTCCTTTATACTTTTACTTGATATCAGGGTCCGCTGTTATCGTGACTTACGTACCTTAGACCAATCATAGTCACTTCATTACAAAACTATGGTCAAACATCTCGAGTTTAGTTCCCTGATTATTTGCACTCTTCACACCAGTATGAGACTCCCACTCTCCCGTGTATACCGCTATTACTGACTATTGCCGAATACATTTGAGACGAGAAATGGTGGTGTTAAAGGCTTAGGGCAAGTGTTTGGTTTTCATCAGGATCTCATTGGGAAACATCCTACGGTATTTCAGTTAATCAGTTATTTAATATGCAGGTCGATATTTTTTTTTAATTATGTTCCTTAGTATAAATTGCGGTTTATTGTCACTTTCCAAGTTCTCACTTTGAAAATGTGAAATTACGTTTATTTAATACAGACTTGCATACCGAGTGTTATCGATGAGACAAAAAAGCTTACCATTCCGAAACATTGGTCATTTTCTGTTTGTATACTTTTCAATAATATTCATGTACATCTTTCCTTGTTCATAGTGCCCTTTGAGCAATCTATTTCGAGATCTTACAATGGTTCTGTTGTCACCTTGATATCCACTTGTCTCTGTTTTTCAGTATCAGGATTATATAGATAGATATGTATTGTAAACAAACTGAAACTACGTAATAATTTCATTTACCTTAGAGACTCCAAGGAAACATTATGGAAGTGACACGTCTAGATTAAATATGTACGATAAATGTCTATGTAGATTAAAGCGATCAGGCGCGTAGCTACCACGTAAGCATATATGCAGTTGCATGCACATCAAAAACTCAAATATACTATTATATTTTTATTTATTTATTTTGTAGTTCGGAAAAGTGATTAAATGATATGTGGTTCATTTGAAAAATAAATTTAATTTAACTGTATAACCGACAGCCGCCAGACAATCAGTACGTATCCGAAAGTTCCAACCTATAGGGACCTGGTGCCGATTTTATTATTAGTATTTTTGTCAACATGAAACATGACTGCAAAGCCAACGAAAAACTCGCATCATCTTCAAAGAACGAGTTGATACATGACTTCTTCCAAGCAGCTGTAGGTTCAGATGAAACAACATCCTCTTGCGACATTAACTTAGGCATCGACGAGTCTAAAACGGCTATCAGTATTAGGGCCTAGTAATGTCGGACCTACCGAACACAGTTCTGATCAGTCTGACTGTTGTTACCCCTGATATCGGGAATACAAGCGAGGCCGAGATATCGATATCCTGTCAAAAAGATGGGAAAAAGCTCACGAGTTCAAATTCCATACACGGCAACATTTTTACAAGCGATTGTAATGAAATACAACTAAGTTAACGGAGGCAGGTTGTTTTTCCGGAATGGATGTATTTTTGTGTAATTTTTTCACCAATTAAATGTCTTCCGAATAACAATTGTAGATTGATTTGTTACTAGCATTGTTTTTATAGGTTTTAGGGCGGATATATGCGCGTATAGGATCCATCTGGGTTTTACATTCACTTCGCCTGCAAATGTAATATGAAAAAGGCAAAGCCCCAAAGTCAGAAAAAAGCCACGTACATGTAGCTTTTGCTAATCTGTGACATTATATAGGCCTTCATTTGTCCCTGTCATGAACTGATAAAGTATTTTTTAAGACTAGTCCTAGGCCTATCTTCAGTAGGGCTACTGGATATATATGTACACATGTATCTTAACATCGATATAGGAGCTACCGTCATCTTATGTTCTGAGAAATGTTGATGAAATAAAAAGGATTTGTGGAACACAACAGCAAAAAATCTGAAATTAATCTGTTCATATTGGCTCCGACATTTTAAATATCTAGTTATTTTAGATTCATCTGGAAAGAGATATGACGCAGCAGATATTTTCGGGTAATTCCAACAATCGACACATTTTTGTCGGAGAGAAAAAGGAGAAAAATGTGCTGTCTTTCGCATTTGAAATACATTTGAATTTTTGCGATGCTTTCCAATAATAAAGTGAATGAATCAACCCAAAAATGTTGTCTGTAAATTATATTTAAACACTCAAATATGTATCTAAAAAGCCACCAGATGGCACGATAGTGCTTCTAGATCTAAAAAAAAATGGGAATTGTAGTCAACCCACGAGGTGGAACCATCATATGTTGCAGCCTTCATATGTCTGACCTTCATTGGAGTGTTGCGTGGTTTTCTGGTATACTCTTGTTCTTCATCATCCTCACTACCGCTGTCCTGCTCATATACTGGCCTCCTGCGACGTCTCTGAGAATTCCTTTGGGTCACCCAATCATGACCACCTCCATCAATGTCACCAACATAGTCAGGGAGCTGCTCTGTTCTTAAACGGTATAATCTCAACCATTTATGGTATTGAACATATAAAAAGGGAATCACAGATTCTTCAGAATTTCAATAGAACTTTAAAGAGTAAATTTTCTTTTATGTAGCTATTGTATGTATATTAAGGAATACCTTATTTATATTGCGATTTACCTCTAGTATTAAAATAAAGATAAGATCACTTCCAAGTTCTGTTACAAACATATCAGTGATCCTTAACTTTCCTTCTCATAGCAGTAACATACCAGGCTCCTTTAATATTCCTGATTACATACCATAATTAGGTCGCTACTACAGAGTAACATACCAGGCTCCTTTAATAATCCTGATGACATACCATAATTAGGTCGCTACTACAGATCCTTCAGTACCTATGAGGATTAACTAGGTGTATACAATCTGTTCATGATCACTGTTAAACTAATTCGACAAAGTTTTCTTACCGGGATGATTTAAGAGATGAACTTTACGGTGGTGATCACGACCTGTTGTCGACTTATGGTAATTCAGTGTCCACTATAATGAAAGATTAAAATATTTACTTGAATTGTTACCTTCCTTATTCTTCATCTGTATTTACAAAAGAACAATTCTGTTGTAATTTGTACACATGACATGACAAGAAACTGGTTTCAAATACAGATTTTCGTCAGATAAAATATAATAACATCTTCTTTTGATCATATTTCAGTCAGTATGGCATTCCTACTTTGTTTTACCCTTCATTTAATAAACTGTAAATTTGCTGGTTCATATGGAGATGTGCGCTTACGTTCGTTATGTACACATAATAGGCCCACTACCAAAGTAACTTGATATGCTGATAACGTCAGAAAACTAGATATTTATTTATTTTTCTCGTGTATCAATAAACACACGTTTTAACTCTAACTGGTACTGAAAACCGAAAATTAATCGCTGCAGTTTAATTTTCGCCCTTTTCGCTCTCCGTAATGAGGGCGAATTTTTCATTTCAGCAACTATTTGTAAACCACATTATATACATAGTATTTAAATTATAAGGGAGAACTCATATTCGAAAATGCCCTACCGTCGAATGGTCCAAACTTTCCCGCTATACAGTATACCTAAGTTAAGTTGTAATGGTATGCTATAATTGTCGTTAATTTACACGGACACAACCTCAGGATTGTTATGAAAACTGTTTTGTTTTATTTTTACAACTCGCTATAGGAACCAGAAATGTACAAAGTAGAGTAAGAGTACTTCATTTACCAAGCCGTATCAAAGATATTCCATGTAAACACAGTTATATAGAAGTTCCCCAGCGAGCGACGGTTTGTTATCATGTTTATCTGATTGTATAGTTAATTTTCAAAAGACATGAGGTTGAACGAGTGTGTTTTACAATTTGAAAACTAACCAACGGAGATAGCAAAGAATCCTGATGATTAACCATCACGGGTTTGAGGTCATTTTTCTCCAACAATATCTAGATATTATATCTAGAAAACTTTTTTTTTTTTTTTTGAGAATGCATAATTCCTGTTTCCAGTACGGGACACAATTGCTATGAGCTATGACGTCACAATAGAAGATGACGTCGCAAATATATTACCATCTGACGTCATAAGTAGAAAATTGTCCAGGGTGTTACCCAAAAATTATTCACCAACTCCAAGCAGGTTTGTCCAAAGAGGCGGGAGTGAGGAAAACTATCGTGGTTGATGGAGAAATGTGAAACTTAAATTATTACTTATAGTTCACAAATATGACGATTAATAAATCACCACATAAACCTTTATTCCGACATTGATTTCAATATATAGCAAGCATGTACAAATACAAAAACTACATAAAGTATGTCTTTACTTTTTTTCAATATTTTCATCAAATTACATCACATATTTATTCGTTTGACACAGCCCGACACATCTTTTCACCAGCACGTTAGTAAGTAGATAGTCATTTCAATGGTAAGGTGTAGATAATGAATACAAAAACAAAAGTATCTGTATTACAAGTTAGGTAATTACATGTGATATCAAACAATAGTGTGGGTTTAGATGGTCCTCTGAACAATACATTCATATTTCACACAAAGATATAGTACAATCAATAAAAATTGCATACAAACGTATAGTACAATCAATAAAAATTGCATACAAACGTATAGTACAATCAATTAGCATTTCATGCAAACCTATGGTACAATCAATAATTTTTTCATACAAACCTATAGTATAGTCAATCAACATTTCATACAAACGTATAGTGCAATCAATCAACATTTCATACAAACGTATAGTGCAATCAAGCAACATTTCATACAAACGTATAGTGCAATCAATCAACATTTTATACAAACGTATGGTACAATCAAACAACATTTCATACAAACATATAGTGTAATCAATCAACATTTCATACAAACCTATAGTACAATCAATCAACATTTCATACAAACCTATAGTACAATCAATCAACATTTCATACAAACGTATAGTACAATCAATCAACATTTCATACAAACGCACAGAACAATCAATCAATATCTCATACAAACCTTTGGTACAATCAATCAACATTTTTATACAAACCTATGGTACAATCAATCAACATTTCATACAAACCTATAGTACAATCAATCAACATTTCATACAAACCTATAGTATAATCAGTTAACGTTTCATACACAAGTATAGTACACTCAGTAAACATTTCTTACAAAAGTATAGCACAATCAGTTAACGTTTCATACAAACACATCGTACAATCAGCTAACATTTCATACAAACCTATAATATAATCAGTTAACGTTTCATACAAATGTATAGTACAATCAATCAACATTTCATACAAATGTATAGTTTAATCAGTTAACGTTTCATACAAAAGTATAGTACAATCAGTTAATATTACATACAAATGTATAGTACAATCAATCAACATTTCATACAAACGTACAGTAGAATCAATCAACATTTCATACAAACCTATAGCATAATCAGTTAACGTTTCATACAAAAGTATAGTACAATCAATTAACATTTCATACAAACACATCGTACAATCAAATAAGATTTCATACAAACCTATAATATAATCAGTTAGCGTTTCATACAAATGTATAGTACAATCAATCAACATTTCATACAAATGTATAGTATAATCAGTTAACGTTTCATACAAAAGTATAGTACAATCAGTTAATATTACATACAAATTTATAGTACAATCAATCAACATTTCATACAAACGTACAGTAGAATCAATCAACATTTCATACAAACCTATAGCATAATCAGTTAACATATCATACAACCATAGACAGTTTAACTCTGTACTTTATCACAGCACAAACATATTATATCCCACACTTCATGGACACACTTTGTAACAAGTCATGCACGAACACTTCGGACGCATACATACCATAATACACTTCAACTTCATTAAAACACATATTTACCACATTTCATAAAAATGTAAACAGATGATACATCCATATTTCTCACTGGTACTTCGACCAATAATATAAACTATTATTAACACAAACTTATCCCAAAATCACATCCTGAATGTGTTTTTCTTGTCAATATATAAATGTTAAGATAGGTAATGACGTAACAATCCATTTGAGCATTACTTTGACAGTCCTTAACTTAGCGGCGTATCGTAATGTTTGAGATAAACAGTGTTTATGAGAATATGATTTTCATAACTTGAGACTTTATAGGAGTAAAACTATACATATATTGTAATACAAACAAAGACTAGTACCTCTTTAGCAACGTTGTTTGACGAAGATATTGGTATTCCTCATGCAGTGATATCCCTTACACGACCATGATCTAATTATTGTATAGGTTATACTTATATCGTTGTTACTAATCATATAAGTTGAAAGATATGTACGTAGTTCCTATTCTGTGATGATTCGTTTGTCACAACAAACCTGTCCCTACAGACAGATATCGCCCTCGGACTGTCTACACCGTCTGATGACGTCAGCAGTTCTCTGACGTGGGCCCCCTCCTCCGACATTTGTACCACGTTGTTAGACTCCCGCCCGCATACGTACACATTGCCTTCGCCGTCGACGTCTACTCCAAACGCTTCCTTCAGGACACCAACTGTCGCCACGTCTGTACGAGTACTGTCTGACAGTCTGTATACCGCTACTATGCCACTCGTGGATGTGAACTGGCTGCCATACAAGTGTAGCGTTCTTGGATCAGACACAATATGATAGCAATGAGAAGGGCAAGTTTGTATATGTTGCGTATTCCCATTATGTTGGACAGTGTACAAGTCCCCCCTAGAGCTCACAGTTAACCCGTCACATGTAGAAGTGATACCCCACGGAATGATACTCTTTGAGAGTTTTATTTCTGACATAAGAGTTAATTTTGAGGACACGACTTTGATGACGTATATAACAGGTGTATGGTAGTTACCGACCGCTACAGTGTGATCATCCACACGACACACATGTCATACGGAATTCCTTAAAGTTTCATCTTATCTTCACATTCCCCAAAAGCTGTAAACAGCTTGATATTTTCGTTGTTGAAATCTCCAACACGATTTGATCATCCGGTAAGTAAACGATTCCAGGTGCCTGTGGTAAAAACTGAAATAAAAAAGTCATGAAGCACCGACAAAGAGATAAATGTAACGGACATCAGTTCCAAGATTTTCCGGTTATTTTTCATCCTTCCGGAAATAATCGATGAAGGCCGATGGAATGTGACGTGCTTGTGACGTCATAGTATGATAATCTCTGGAACGACGTTTCATGCCTGCTAGTATCAAAATGTATCTGATAGATTTTTTTCACTCAGAATTTATGTTAGTTTTTACCTAAATAAATAAGTAATAAAACATGGGTATTGTTTTCACTATATGAAAATGTTCATGTATGGGTTGAAACACAATTGTCTTTGCTTCAAAGATACACTTCCTGTTTCCCCGCTGGACGTCTACCTCCGGACGAATTTTTTTAAAGGCAAGGTGTAGAAAGGGGAAGCTACTCTGTTTACGCACGCATATGTTACCATTAAAAAGCTTCGCTCGGGCGCCTTCGACGTCCGAAAGCTACGCCGACAAAGATGTGTATTTAGACTGTTGTCGAAGGGGGTATACCGTGACATGTACAGTCATGTGATCGTTGTGTCAAACTGATACAACACCGGCACGACGGGACACAAAATTACGGAAATGCAGTGTTTTGTCTTAAGTCTGAAAAAAAGGGTGTTATTTGGGAAATAAGTTATTTCATAATAACATTAAAGGATAGCGAGGTTTGGTTCGCATGGTATAACATAAACATCAACTTCAAATTGTTTCATTTATAAACAAAAATATATATATACATACTTTTACAGAGGATTATACAGTGAACATATATATTTTATGACAGAACAACCAAATATATATATAATAGGAATCGAATGTGATCTTCTGGGACGTTATCTTCACTTGTAGATAAATTGACGATGTGTTGTTCTTTTATAACAAAACTTTACTTGTTCTTAATTGCAGATGAGATCAGCTTCTTTGTACATTGTACATTCTTATCGAACTGCATTAACCATTCTTTCCTTTATTACAAGATGAGTAATATCTCCATTTTCCTAAAAAAAAATTACACCATAATCTGTATAATCCCCCCTTTATATCCACCATCCAATTATCCTTTGTTTGTAGCATATCTTTATAACAAACTTGTAAAATACATATATTCGTCTTTTTTACTTTTAAGCAAAACTTTTTTTTCTTAAGATAGTTAATTGGTTCCCGTTCTAAATACTGTATACACTATTACATATTACTACAATCGTCCAAAAAAGATATCGACTCCCTGTACATCATGCACGAGATCTAGGAACTTCCCAAAATCTCTATCTATACCACGATACGCTATATATATACGTATCGAATACTGAAAATTATGTTTCAATATTAAAACAAAAAAATCTTTCTGAATTATTTTCAAACCTGAGAAGAAATAGCATCAACATTATGGTCTACAATCTTGTTTTGATTTATTATTCAATTTTCAATTAAAATTCATATAGGATTAAAACATTTTACCGAGGTTCAGAAAGCATACATGCACAGCGATGAAACAGGCAAATCAGTAAAACCTTCAATCTTTAGGGAGTCAGAAGTTATGGCCCAGACAATGACTGCAATATGACCTTGACCTTTTGTGTACAAACCCAGCGGTACAGGACTCACAGCCTTTCCACCCTAAATATATCCCTTAAATCCCATTGAGACTCTTCAGAGAATCTGACACTATGTTCAGACGATGAATTTTAACTTTTACTTCCATGTGACCTTGACCTGGCATACGGACCAGAAGTCAGACGATATCTTTCAGACAATGAACTCGACCTTTATACTCAATGTGATCTTGACCTTGGACGTGCGAACCCAATAGTGATGCATGACCCCCCTCCCCTCCCTAACACACTTGTTCGGGGAGCATGAAAAAATAACACATTGACAGTCATTAAAATCACATTCAGAATTTATTTCTTTTTGTTTATTTGTAACAAAAATGTAAACTTTTAACTGACTTCATCAGTATTACAACTTTGACCATATATACAGGTACTTACAAAAATATAATGAAGGGGTTGAATAGTTGTATAAACAGTTGATTTACAACAGTACAATGTTGATAAAATGTACTTGATTAATTTGTTCATCGTCTTGTTAATCCTATCTAAAGGAATTATCAACTAATTAAACACAAGTCAACTATAACTAATGCTTTTGCAGCAAGTTCATAATTCCTTGCAATATTTTATGGTGTAATATTAAATGTAAATACGGGTCATTTATTTATCACTCATGCATGATATACAATGTACTACACAGTGCACCGGCTTCTGACTCGATAGAAACGCACGCTACCGGATCCAGCCTGTCGACAATGACATAATGAGTGATGATGTCCCAAATCATAACATCCGAGATTAAAAAAAAGCTGGATTAAACTGAGCAAGTCTGACATCACGCTTTGCGATTCTGGCTGATTGGTTTTCATTCAGTAATGATTCAGAAAATAAGCTCCTTGTATAGCACCAGGTACGTGTATAGCCACCACTCATCTGGATAGCCTGTACCTCAGTCAGTGTTCCTCGCGAAAAAGAGAGAAAATCGCATTTTCTATTCAAAATGGTTCCAGTCATCAAGTCGTTTCAGTATCCGGCTTCTTTTTCTGGACATGAATGCGTCTGCATTAACTTTACATACTCCTATCTCTCTTGGTCATTTAGCTTTAAAAACTATATTACTAAGAGCCTGATTCAATGAAAATGTTTTGATCACAGGAAGGTATAAGCTCGCAATGACTGCTGAAACAAATCCGGGGTCTTTTTATAAGTGTTAATGATTTCCATCCTTATAAACAGCTTTTAGAATATATATATATACTAGTATGAGGGTTATTTGGGTATTTAATATATCACAATAATATTACTGATATTATCATGCTAAATTATATCGATAAAGGACATAATTTTGTCACTCAAAATCATTTTACTAGCAGGACAATGTCGATGTCTAATTCATCAGTATGTACAAAGTTAAATTTCACAGATTAGGAAAGTTGAAACACGTGTACATTATTTTGATTCCCTATTGATTGGTTTGTGACTACAAATTTGTTCCCACAGACAGATATTGCCCTCGGGCTGACTACACCGTCTGATGACGTCAGCAGTTCTCTGACGTGGTCCCCATCCTCCGACATTTGTACCACGTTGTTAGACACTCGCCCACATACGTACACATTGCCTTCGCCGTCGACGTCTACTCCAAACGCTTCCTTCAGGATACCAACTGTCGCCACGTCTGTACGAGTACCGTCTGAAAGTCTGAATACCGCTACTCTGCCACTCGTGGATGTGGGCTGGCTGCCATACAAGTGTAGAGTTCTTGGATCGGACACAAGATGGTAGCATTGAGAAGAGCAGGTTTGTATATGTTGCGTATTTCCATTCTGTTGGACATTGTACAAGACCCCCCTAGAACTCACAGTGAACCCGTCACCTGTAGTAGTGATACCCCAGGGAGTGATATTCTGTGAGAGTTTTATTTCTGACATAAGACTTAATTTTGAGGACTCGACTTTGATGACGTATATGACAGGCGCATCAAAGTTAGCGACCGCTACGGTGTTATCATCCAAAAGACACATGTCGTGCGGTTTTCCTGAAACCTTCATCACATCTTCACATTTCCCTGAAACTGTAAACAATTTGATCTTTTTGTTGTTATAGTCTCCTACAACAATATGATCATCCGGTAAGTAAACGACACCAGGTGCATGACAATATAAGACATCTGATGGACACTTGATGCAGAACTTGCTCACCTCGGTTACGCCACATTTCAACAATGGAGATTTAGGACCAGAAAGACTATTTAAATTCTTCTCTATTTTGATTTTGCCCATAGACAATGGAATGTCCTTATCTAACGTTAGGAGATTCGGGTCGACGCTGTGTTTGATTCTGACTGTGGTGAACTTCTTCCTCATTTCTGTGATAAGGTCCTCGTAAGACTTTACCTCCGCCTGACCTCTCTGAAACAACAAGATCGTGTCCACACTGTCATTTTTCTGAATCGCCGTTCCAGAGGATTCTATTGTGTTTTGAATCGAAAACATCAGTCGTTCACATTTCTGCATAGACATCTCCAGATTATCTTTTTCCTCTTTGTACGTTGCTATCAGCTCATCTGTGCTATTTTTCTGCATGGCGTCAAGACGTGTGTCGATTCTTTGACGTAGATCTGCTAAACTTTTCAATCCGGTGTCTTGGTCTTCTAAAAGTGTCTGAAGTTGCTCACCAAACTCTTTGATCAATAACTCAATGGCTTCTGTTGTTTTCTTTAGTGATGTCTTCAAGTCATCCAGTCGTGATTCCTTCTTCAGTTTATCACAATATTCCTGTGTCGTTGTCACTACTTCACATCGTCTGTGGTCTATGGTGATACATCTACTACAGCCAAGTATCTGGTGATCTTCACAATAGTAATCCATCTTCTCTGTATGTTTCTCACATCTGACCTGTTTTGTTACTTGTCGTTGTACCATACCACCTTTCCCAGTTACATCTACTGTTTCACATCCTTCATGAATCAAATCGTGATATTCAAGTTTACAGGTGTCACAGAACAGGACATTACATGTTTTACACCAGATTGTTGCAGGTGTCTTTGTGTTTCCTTTTTTTTCACAAGGCTTACAGAACATCAGCTCATGTGCTGTGACGTCCTTTACTTGGTCTTTAACCAACTCATTTGTTGGAAATTGTTGAGCCCATTTATTTTTGTCCTCAGCCGCATTGACCGGATGGGTCATCTTCCTACAAACTGGACATGGAAAGGCAGTCGCCGACGCCATATTTCCCGACAGGTCCTTGGTGATGAACGTGGACAGACATTCCTGGCAGAAGGAATGGAGACAAGGGAGCGACTTGGGTTGGTGTAGCTGTTCCAGACAGATTGGGCAATCCAACAAGTAGGAATCAAACTCAGGTCTGGAGGTGTCAGAAACTTTATGAGAAGATCCTCCTTCAGCCATCACGTTTGAAGAGTTATGGTGTCTGTGAATGTAGAACAAAATGGAAAAATGTATGTAACAGGGGAATCATTTTTATGTTAATATATGACTTGACACTGATTTTAAAATTATGAAAGGTCTTGTTGTGAGGAACCTTATGGGGTTGTGTGATAGTGTTCATTCACTTCATTTCAGTGACATAGATCTGTTTTCCTACTTCTCTGTGCACACCCGAAAGGTATGCAGGGTAAGGTAAAACTATATTCTTATATATTCTAGATGCATGTTTCATATTGGTAATGAAATTCAATATCAAATGTATATTGATTTGTAGATTCGATAGTATCGATAAGTATATTGTGAAACTATTGTGAAAATATGAAGTTCATTATATCCAATACAAAAGATATAATACGATGTGTCTATCAGTATCAGATATCTCATGTTCTATTAAGCGTGGTATCGTATATGTAAGGTTTATGTACCTTGATGTAAATAGACTATAATGAGATGTCTGAGTAAATGTGTAATTTGGACTTACATGTTTCTTTTTTAAACACAAACATGTGTAAGAATAAGACTCAAGAATAAACCCGACAATTTCTGTGTATTTTTATCACACATCAATGATAACACTGTAACATTAATATCTGATCTGTTTGTGACAGACTCACATAAGTGTTTCTTTTGTACGAATACAGACTGATCCCACTCGAAATATAGTGTAACCATGGCAATAAAATGTATCTATGCTGGAAAACATCTTACCAACTACGAAAGTAAACAGATTTATTAGTATCGAGTATGTTTTATGCACGTGAGTGCACATGGGTATAACTGTATGGTACTTATTATAATATACTTGTATACACGTAGATATTGACATTGTGTGAGATTTGTGATACACGTTTGTACACGTAGATATTGACATCGTGTGAGATTTGTGATACACGTGTGTACACGTAGATATTGACATCGTGTGAGATTTGTGATACACGTTTGTACACGTAGATATTGACATCGTGTGAGATTTGTGATACACGTTTGTACACGTAGATATTAGATTATATCACACGTAGATAATGATATCGAGTAGGATTTTTAACACACTGTTTTACACGTATAAGTATCGGCTAAGATTTGTGATACACGTTTGTACACGTAGATATTAGATTATATCACACGTAGATAATGATATCGAGTAGGATTTTTAACACACTGTTTTACACGTATAAGTATCGGCTAAGATTTGTGATACACGTTTGTACACGTAGATATTAGATTATATCACACGTAGATAATGATATCGAGTAGGATTTTTAACACACTGTTTTACACGTATAAGTATCGGCTAAGATTTGTAATACACGTGTGTACACGTAGATATTAGATTATATCACACGTAGATAATGATATCGAGTAGGATTTTTAACACACTGTTTTACACGTATTAGTATCGGCTAAGATTTGTAATACACGTGTGTACACGTAGATATTAGATTATATCACACGTAGATAATTATATCGAGTGGGATTTTTAAGACGTTTTACATGTATTAGTATCGGCTAAGATTTGTAATACACGTGTGTACATGTCAGTATGTGTTTCCAGTTAGATTTAAACTACACGTTTGTATACGTGAAAATCAAGTTAGATTTGTAATGCAGCTGTGTATACCTTGATTTTAGAATCGGTTAAAATGAAGTATTGAAATTATAAAAAAAAAACTGAGAAGTTCAGAGTAATTTCAAATAAATAATCAATCAAGTGAGTGTTTATTATGAACCGTGCCACTATCCAACAGAGAAAACCGTGGCCGTCATGGTCACGTCAAACCTCGGGGACTGGGACATCCATTTTTTTTTTAACTTTTAAGATGAGGTAAGCCTCACACAAGTTTAAAACTATAAAAATACAGTTATAGATAAAGTGTGCCAAAAAGAACTACACTGCCAATACAGCTGTTTCGTGTTTCTTAGTCCCATCGTTGATGTTGAGGACAAAAATATGAAAATCCGAATGTTTTAAACTACTGTTGTAACAGAAAGGGGTTCTTAAATAGATACATCAACTAATGGGTGATAATCTAGGAGTCAGGGAAGGTTGAATTGATCAGACCTACTTTATTTTTATACAATATATAAATAAACACCTCAAAGGATTTTACCGAAACCATATATTCCTAAGTGGTGGATCAGGAGAGGTTTCGAGACATATATTTTCCTAGTCTGCCTTCTCCCTCCAAATAGTTATTTTCTCATTTTTTTAAATTAATTTTACGACTAAACTCACACTTTTTTTTATAAATTTGAAAATCTTCCACCAGTTTTGTTTCTGAATCCATCACTGTCACTGTTATTGCAAGAAGTAATATGGCATACTCAGCGAATAATATCTAAAAACCAATGGGGTCAGAATATAACGCATATGTTCGCTGTGGACGTGTACAGGCCATATGCTGCCTGTACGTACTATACTCGACCACATTGATAGACCTTCGATCTCCTGTAGCCCAACCTTATCTAACACGACATTCACCATGAATACAACCGACAATGATATCTGTATTCAACTAAGCTGTGTGTATATAGCCACCATCAGGCCAAAATTGGCACCCATCCTTAACTTAAACGTGATGACATTGAATCTAATAAATGGCAAGCTATTAATTATATAGATAGATATATTTATATCTAGATCTAATTATAACGTCACAATCTTTCATTTGCCAGCTCGGGCTAGGGATTTGACGTCGGCGTTTCGTGTAAACACCAATTACTTTCGATTTCTATATACGTAACAGGGGCAACTATTTATATAACAACTGCTCATTTTCCGTATCTTTTATACAAACTTTACACAAGGAAATACGAGTAAATTTCAATAAATATGTTGTCCTCCAATTACTCTGGATTCTAAGTTAACAAGATACTAACCTTGTAGCCCATATAAAGCCGACAATGATGTGTATTCAGCCAAATGGCGTAGAGGGTAATTAACAGCGACGTGTACAGTCTTGTGATCGTTATATCACACTAAATATAAAACCGATACGACGGGACACAAACTTCCGGATATAGAGTCATTTCTTTTTCGGAGAAAATATGTTTAGTTAAACTAGTATATATACAAATATAAAGAATAATTAATTTCATTCTGAAATAATGCATATATTATTTTGAATTAAAGAAATCATTCACTGATGACATCTCACGTATTACTTCGTTTGGTTTGCATGGGATCACATAGATATATATGTTTTTCTAAACAAAAACAATATACTTTTACATAAGATCATTAGGTGAGCATATTAATTTAACGAATGAGCAATGAAGATTTTGTCGGAGAAGAATTTGTGAGATTGTCCGGATACTTTAACGTCACTTTCAGATACATATGTATATTGAATATGTTTCGACCTCTACTAACGAGAATTCTGGTAACTACTGACATCTCCTTTATACTTCTACTTGATATCAGGGTCCGCTGTTATCGTGACTTTTACGTACCTTAGACCAATCATAGTCACTTCATTACAAAACTGTGGTCAAACATCTCGAGTTAAGTTCCCTGATTATTTGCATTCTTCAAACCAGCATTAGACTCCCACTCTCCCGTGTATACCGATATTACTGACTATTGCCGAATACATTTGAGACGAGAAATGGTGGTGTTAAAGGCTTAGGGCAAGTGTTTGGTTTTCATCAGGATCTCATTGGGAAACATCCTACGGTATTTCAGTTAATCAGTTATCTAATATGCAGGTCGATATTTTTTTTAAATTATGTTTCTTAGTATACATTGCGGTTTATTGTCACTTTCCTAGTTCTCACTTTCAAAATGTGAAATTACGTTTGTTTAATACAGACTTGCATACCGAGTGTTATCGATGAGACAAAAAAGCTTACCATTCCGAAACATCTGGTCATATTCTGTTTGTATATTTTTCAATAGTATTCATGTACATCTTTCCTTGTTCATAGTGCCATTTGAGCAATCTATTTCGAGATCCTACAATGGTTCTGTTGTCACCTTGATATCCACTTGTCTCTGTTTTTCAGTATCAGGATTATATAGATAGATACGTATTTTAAACAAACTGAAACTACGTAATAATTTCATTTACCTTAGAGACTCCAAGGAAACATTATGGAAGTGACACGTCTAGATTAAATATGTACGATAAATGTCTATGTAGATTAAAGCGATCAGGCGCGTAGCTACCACGTAAGCATATATGCAGTTGCATGCACATCAAAAATTCAAATATGCTATTATATTTTTATTTATTTATTTATTTATTTTGTAGTTCGGAAAAGTGATTAAATGATATGTGGTTCATTTGAAAAATAAATTTAATTTAATTGTATAACCGACAGCCGCCCGACAATCAGTACGTATCCGAAAGTTCCAACCTATAGGGACCTGGTGCCGATTTTATTATTAGTATTTTTAAAGTTGTCAACATCGGAAACATGACTGCAAAGCCAACGAAAAACTCGCATCATCTTCGAAGAACGAGTTGATACATGACTTCTTCCAAGCAGCTGTAGGTTCAGATGAAACAACATCCTCTTGCGACATTAACTTAGGCATCGACGAGTCTAAAACGGCTATTAGTATTAGGGCCTAGTAATGCCGGACCTACCGAACACAGTTCTGATCAGTCTGACTGTTGTTACCCCTGATATCGGGAATACAAGCGAGGCCGAGATATCGATATCCTGTCAAAAAGATGGGAAAAAGCTCACGAGTTCAAATTCCATACACGGCAACGTTTTAACAAGCGATTGTAATGAAATACAACAAAGTTAACGGAGGCAGGTTGTTTTTCCGGAATGGATGTATTTTTGTGTAATTTTTTCACCAATAAAAGGTCTTCCGAATAACAATTGTAGATTGATTTGTTACTAGCATTGTTTTTATAGGTTTTAGGGCGGATATATGCGCGTATAGGATCCATCTGGGTTTTACATTCACTTCGCCTGCAAATGTAATATGAAAAAGGCAAAGCCTCAAAGTCAGAAAAAAAGCCACGTACATGTAGCTTTTGCTAATCTGTGACATTATATAGGCCTTCATTTGTCCCTGTCATGAACTGATAAAGTATTTTTTAAGAGTAGTCCTAGGCCTATCTTCAGTAGGGCTACTGGATATATATGTATACATGTATCTAAACATCGATATAGGAGCTACTGTCATCTTATGTTCTGAGAAATGTTGATGATATAAAAAGGATTTGTGGGACACAACAGCAAAAAATCTGAAATTAATCTGTTCATATTGGCTCCGACATTTTAAATATCTAGTTAATTTAGATTCATATGGAAAGAGATATGACGCAACAGATATTTTCGGGTAATTCCAACAATCGACACATTTTTGTCGGAGAGAAAAAGGAGAAAAATGTGCTGTCTTTCGCATTTAAAATACATTTGAATTTTTGCGATGCTTTCGAATAATAAAATGAATGAATCAACCCAAAAATGTTGTCTGTAAATTATATTAAAACACTCAAATATGTATCTAAAAAGCCACCAGATGGCACGGTAGTGCTTCTAGATCTAAAAAAAATCGGGGGGGGGGGGGGGGGGGCATGCCCCCGTACCCCCCTAGAATGGTTTCGCGACTTCGGCGCTCGCATTCGCACCTTCGGTGCGATTTTCTGCATGCACATACAAAACAGCCCAGCTAAGCGCCTGGCGATATTCACGTCCACTGAAATTGTTAGATGTCTGTTTTTCCTGGATTTGACAGAAGACGTCAAGGCTGACTTTTCACATGGTGCAGGAGCCACTTACCATTCCCGGTATGTCTTCGTTTCTCTGGTATTGGATCTAATACTTTGAGTCTCATTGGCTCCTGTTGTTGCCTCTTTGAATTCAGCTTTTGTCCTTTTATCTATGCACACTTTTAACTGTAAGCAAGTATGTTCAACATTTGTCTGGCTCATTTTTGCTGGTTGTTTATGAACAGGGGGCTTTTCCAAAATGGCCCCTCCTTAGTAATTTATCTAATGCCTAATCAGTTGTCAGATTCCTTGACAACTTTCTTGCCATACCAATGGAATTCAGAGATCGTGTGTTAGTTTGTTACTTTGCTTTTATATATATTTTAGAGTTAGACGCCCTATTTACAGCTGATGACATTTACAGATAAAGTTTTGTAAGCTGCAAGACTAATCAACAAACTGTACTGATCCGGACCAAAAACGGAAAATACTATTCATGTTTGGAAGATTTCCGGCCCGCCTCTTGTTTTGGATTAGTCACTCCCATGACCTACAAAACGGCATTCGCTCAGGTGGGAAATTTTGAACGATTGAAAACCGAGGACTCTACTGACCGAATTTACCAGCTGTTGTTGATACTTGAGAGGCTTTGGGTCAATATATAATCCATTTATCGATATATGTGGGATATGTGTTGTGTCATAGTTGATTTTTTTCGTTTGCACCCCAAAACGCTCCGATACCAAACGGTGTCGGAGAATTCCACGTTTACATATAGTAGTGCGCTCTGGCCCCACATTAAACATGTACCTGTCAAAATGTCTAAGTATGGTGTCAGGGAAAGAGGAAACTCGGTCTAGTATGGAATGTGTTTGAATGGCAGACTTGGAAAAGGGAAGGAAGAAACAAATGATGCCAGGCTTTGAGCTTGTTCTCAAACTGATGATTCTTTATTCACAAGAAAACAACTTATCAAGCTTTGATATTCCTGGTTGAATTTATTTATCTCTTAACTCCGTGTTTATAACTTAAACTTTGTGTTTACCTTGTACTATATTTGGTCCTTGTTTATTGACGCTGTCACAGAGCTATCTCTTGTCCTTGTATTCATTCTTGATATATTTTGTCAGTTAGTATAAATGCTGTTGTTTGTTTTCGTGTTTTTGAGTTGACACCATTGGATTGTTTTTATCGTTTGTTTTCTGCGGAAAAAACCCTGTGTACAATTGATATGTAGTTATTAATGTGATGTATATGTGAAAGAAAATGTACATTTTAAGTCGATATTGGTATCTCCAATAGCCGAAATAGTTCAGTTGGGAGAGCGTTAGACTGAAGATCTAAAGGTCCCTGGTTCGATCCCGGGTTTCGGCATTGGGATTTATTTTGGTTCCGAAGACTGAATTTCATTCGTTTTACAGAATTACTGCAATGGCAATTTTTAAGGTTTTTTAACAGAAAAGTCAAAAAGAACTCGGGACCTTCAAACTACCAATCCTGCACTTGAGCAATGTTGCTATCCAAACGCACGGTATCGAATATATATTTTCCTTAACACTGTGGTCACTCCTCCTGTCCTTGTATTAATGCTTTGATATATCAGTTTGTATAAATAAGTATATTAAGTTCTTATAAAAGGGCTGTAGTTCATTTTGTGTTGTTGACACTGTTGTATATTTTTCCTGTATTTTCCGTTATGTGAACACCTATTCCGTATGTAAACGGGATGTAATAAGATTTACACTTTGATTCAGAGATTTCATCAGGCTTGGGCGGCTGATTAACATTTAAGTCGATATTGGTATCTCCAATGTTAGACATACAGCCTAAATAGCTCAGTTGGGAAAGCGTTAGACTGAAGATCTAAAGGTCCCTGGTTCGATCCCGGGTTTCGGCATTGGGATGTCTTTTAGTTCCCACATATGGATTTTATTAGTTATTCGATTTGAACATTCTGTGAAAAAAATATAAATGTACAAGCCAACCAATATTGCAATGATGCATAGTATAAAAATGATTTCCTCAAGTGGAAAAGTATTTGTAAGCTAATAAAACTCACATTATGTTAATCTATCTTATTTTAAAATCACATTTAAATGGGTTTTTCATTTTTTACGTTGTTTTATATCTTTTGGCCTTGTTGTGATCAATTTCAGCATCAATATTTGCTGTCTTGTATGTTGATGCTTTTAAGGTGTTTTTTTATTACGGTATGTATTCACTGTGGTATCTCCTGTCCCTGTGTATTGATACTTTTGTATTAATGTCACCGTATGTATTCACTGTGGTA